AAATACACTTAGTCTTAGTCGATGATGCTAAATTGGATTGAATATTATCATTTCTACAGAAGTTAGAAAGTAAGTCAGTGTTACACGATGCAATCGTAAATATTGGAGTACCACAAGAGTCAACTCTTGGCCCTTCACTGTTTTTACTATACGCAAGTACCACATTTACACATTAATGCCAAATGCTTAAAGATAAATAATTAGTACCTAAATTTACTTGTTTGGTATTGGCTGATTGTGAATAACCATTTAATGAGGAAATTTAATTTCATAATAAAGGCATTATATTAGAATCTCCTTAAGCCTTTGATAGCAAGTACCTGAGGTCGTAAATAACATGATAAGACCTAAAGCTATGTATGTATGTAGGTCGGTTGCTTCGTTGATCGATGCATGAAATATAAAAATAAAACATAAATATAAAAATGACTAATAACTTCTACATATCCCCTCATTTGGGATTGGTAAGATATTAAGTGTCAGCCTATTTATTCCCTATTTATTTCTATAAATAATCTTGGAATAGTTTACCAAATTATCAGTATATTTATGGTCCATTAATAGACTTGCTTTCTGCAAGAAAACAATTAGTGGTTTTTTATCAATATAGCTCCAAGTTATATGAAATCTGTGAGATCCTTAAAAAACCAGCCTTTGAATCATGAAAAATAAACAAGTTTCAACTTTTTCTAAGAACGTATAGTAATTGCATAAAGTATTATAAAATACATTTTAAGAGTTGCTTTCTGTTTTTACTGACCGCAGACTAAATTAAAGTTGCCTTGCAGCTTAAAGCTAGGAAAATTTCGACGCGGCTAATAGGGCCGTGGTAGCATAATGGTCAGTGCATTCGCCCGGATAGCGAAGGATGCGGGTTCGAGTCCCGTCCGCTGCCTGGTCCGCGTGGATTTTTTTCTAGTAAACTTTTCTTTAGATTTAAACATCTAGCAGTTAAATGCTTAAAAAATAAATAAAATCATAAATTAAAGTTTTAATTTTTATTACGAGATTCATAGCATTTTAATTTTCCATGAAATTTATAAGGCTTATTTTCTGAGCCTCTCCTCTCTTCTAATTGATTTGTAAATACTGTCACGACCCTACTCTTTATTTAGCGTACCATGCCCCTGACAGCCCACAAGAACTGTTTTTTATATACTGCCTCTAATATCACCTCTCTAACGCTACGGGTTCCAAGCTGGTGGGCCATTTAAAAGTAAATATATGTTTGATGCTTTAATTTGACTTACATATATGTTCAGGATGTTTGTATGTTCGGTTTAAATTTTAGTCAAATTCTTAAGCATTTATCCTCAACTTCAATTGAAATGAAATTTGGGCACTATTTTTAAATAACAATGGGCTGACAATGTGCAGTGCAGAAGTTCCCCTAGTCTTTCGAAAATCTGTAACATATACTCGTACATACAGTACTTGTTTATCACGTAGCTGTTTATGGTTGCACAAAATGTAATAATATAATATTAAGTATTGCATGTCCATTTGAAAGTGACACCAGAGTGAAAAGTGAAACAAGCTGCCATGGACGTAAGTATTCCCCAGAGCTTACTGGTGGTTTATTAATTAAACAGATTTCACTAGTCTAGAAAGTTCTGGAGAGTTACAAACTGTCACGCCAACATTAAGGGGTGTTAGCCATTGTGCTTTACGACGATTGCGTAAGTGTAAGATAATTTAGATTTTTAATTAAAGACTAAAGAAAATATTTAGTAAACAATTGTTGTTGCATTTGTTCGCACTTGATCGGATTCTCATTTCGCCGGATCCAGTACAGTAATATTGATAAATATATATTAATAATAATACATTTGAGGATTCGATGATGCAAGTGGTTAGCGCGTTCGGCTACGATAGTTGAAGTTAAGCAACTTTCGCAGTGGTCCGTCATTGGATGGGTGACCAAAAATTTTCTATCTCGAGCTCCTCCGTGCTTCGGAAGGCACATTAAGCCGTTGGTCCCGGCTGCATCTGCAGTCGTTAGCACCCACTAATCCGCACTGGACCTGCGTGGTGGGTCATGGCCCAATCTCCCTATTCCATCCATAGGGAAGGCCTGTGCCCCAGCAGTGGGGACATCAATAGGCTGATGATGATGATGATGATGATGAATAACATATATTTTTCCAGCCAAGGTTTAAAAAAAATACTTGCAATGATTTTATTTTTTATCAGGAAAAACAGCGTATTACACATGCTATCTAAGGTTGGCAACTCTGACTTAATACAATAATTCCGAAAAAGCCAACTTTGTAATTGTTTTTGATATTGCTGAAGAAGGACTCCCCTTTCACCGTTAAAATATTTGATTGTATTTCTTTAGTATTTTAAAATAAAACTATACCAGAATAAAGCCTGGGACTTTTCACGTAAGCGTTTTTTTTGTTAACTGCATTCCGGCAAAATGAGAATCAGTCCTTTTGCGAATCCGACCAAGTGCGAACAAAACATTGTTGCATAGTTGGTCGATTGTAAAAAGTGCTGCTTCGTGTAATGGAATGAATATTATTTTGAGTGTTTGATATGTAAAGTACCAAAGTACCTTCTAAATTTAAAAGTAGTACCTAGCTATACTTAACTTTTGTTAATTAATAATATTAATGTGATGGAAGTTGACATCAACACATGTTTTAAATTTTTGATGTCATCTTTCAATTGACGACACTGTTTGAAACAAAACAGGGAGAAAAAAATAGCCCTTGCTGAGTTTCTTGCGGGTTCTTCTCAGTACAAGGTCTCCCGCTGTAGATTTACGAACGGATGGCATAGCGTTTGACTTTCACAAGAGCTTGTAACAGCCTAGACTGAATAAATGAGTTTCAGTTTGAGTTTGAAAGGTTCCATGGAAAATTCAGTATCCAGAGAACACTTACCTTTGAACCTACTAAACTTGAACCGTTTCTCTACTGCAAGAACTATTATATAACAGAAAAGTTATGAACAGTGGATAAATACTTCACCTTATGCCCATGTAAATGTATAAAAATGGCCAAGCCACATATTTTGACTAAGGTGAGAAGTTTGTGACTTTATGGCGTGTCTGATAATTTTTTGACAGTGCGAGTTTTATCGTTTTGGCAAATTTTTACATGACAATCTTTTTGGTGGGATTTGCATTGCACAGAATGGCTCACATTTAGGAATAGGACTTATTTTTTTGGAATAAAACACAATGCACGATTATTTTTCATGCATATTTATTTTAAAATTTTATACCGAAATTCATTTATCTTAATCACGATTATGCTTACGAATAAATATGGTAACCTATCAGAGAAAACTGTATATTTTATTGGAACTTAAACATGTAAGAATTTCATTCGTTTCATTTATAAAATGTATTCGCATTATTTTAAAAATCATATATCAATCAAAGGCATTTTTGTTAAAAGACGAATCTAATTAAGGAAACCTGAACACTTTTCCAAAAGATACAAGTAAAAAGAAATTAAGAAAGAAGACTAATTGCATAAAATGTATAATAAAAGAAGAAATGAAAAAAAAAGTGTGGTTTTATGTGACCATGATGTCACAATAAAGTGAAACTTAATAAAGAGTACTTCCTCAGATAGAATTCGAACCCAGGCCGCCGACTCCGGCGCCTTCTACTCAGAAGGTGAGTTTTCTACCACTGCACGACTGATGCTTTTTAATAAAGTCTGAATTTTTTAAGAACAATTAAATACGTCATGCTATAGATGTAAGAAAAACGGTAATCAAAATTTTTAATTTAAAAAATGAAGTAAATCGAAAATATAAAGCAACATTGTTCTCTGGACCAATCTTAATATTTTTTATAAAAGTAATATTTAAATTTTGTGATTACGGTTGCAGTCAGTTATCTCAAAAAATTATAATGTCATGGTACAATAATAAACAGTGATATGTAACATAATAAAAACTTGGATTAAATCGACAAGACCACGGAAATCTTTATCAATATTTTTAATGAAATTATCCTGACTCAAATACTAGGTATAATGTTTCATTAACTGTGAATAGGGAGCAAAGATTTTAGCGTTGTCGTATAATAAATAATGTATTAAACCTATTTCAGGACTGTTTAATTGAGTAACAAATGACGTTTTATAATAGGTACTATTACTTTAGCTAATTGCTTTGATTAGATTTAAATCAATTACCTTGATTGGATTTAAATCGATGTATGTTAAAGTGCCCAATTATAAAACTTGATACTGCAACACAAGCAAAAGCGCATCTAAGTAGGATTGCCGATTGAAGTAGAAAATATCACATGTTCGTCATCTTTCGTAGTAATAAGCACTTTCTTGCGTGTGGCGCCAATTTAATTTCATATGTTTCTTTAGGAAAGTTGTTCAGTCTCGACTTATTTAAATAATTATTACAATAAATTATCCAGTTCTAATGAAGAAAAGTCTCACGAACGTTTTAAATCTATCCATAACTTACTTAGAAGAATAATCGTCAATTCAACCCAAAAAAATGAAGTGTTAAGTTTTTAAGTCAAACTGACAATTCCATGGTGCACCATTCCAATATGCCTAGCTTAAAACTATTCCGCTACCAAGCCTCATTGCAACTGCATATCTAAATTATTTCACTAATTGAAGATTGTTAGATTGTTAATTTAATATCTGGAAAGCTTGTATTCTAGTTGTGAGGGCTATAAAAGGGAAATTACTGATGATAACTGATTTATCTTTTCAGCTATTTCCATTTTTTTATGTAGATAATATTTATTAAAGGTTTACTTGATGTTCAGGGTCATTCATATCGTGTTGGATGTCGATAAAAGTATATTCACTCTAGCCTAGACGTAATTTACGCTGATGATTCATTATTTTAACAACATCTCTTACCATTTATTTAACAAACTGTTCTTTACTATCATAACTCTAATCGGTCCCGTCATTATCTGTTGTGCCCACTGTTACTCATTTAACGAAATCTTATTGTAGAAAAAAAGTTGTTTCTTATTTTATTTTTTTCATACATAGTCACGTCACATCATATCATTGATTAAGCTTTTTTAAAAAAACGGGTACAAAGGGAGATTTGTTTTACATTATTCATGAGGTTTTGACTCGACTTCAAGAACCTGGAATTTGAAACAAAAGATCTCAGTTCATACCTGTTTCAAAAATGTTTAAATACAATTCATGTTCAACCTCAATTTGTTAACAAATTTAAATTGACTTAGCGTATCACATTCCCATTTTATTCTTCTCTACTTGAACTGTACTTTCTTCTTAATCAATAGATAGTGAGAAGTATATTAAAAATCTGATTTGTAAGGAAGAATTCTCGTTTATAAATTATTTTCAAAAATATTGTACTTTAAACTTTTCTAGCTGCGTCGCTATTGTCCATCTTTATATTTCTGTCTCTTTCTAACAACCTTCGTCGCACTTCCTCGGGGTTGTATCTTTTTCTGTACACTCTTCTAACACGCCTTACTGGATTCACATTCCTTGTCTTTATATTTTTTTTCTTTCCAAAGTTACTATGAGCAATAACCGAAGGTGCTCTGGAATCTTCTAACTGTCTAAAAGTCCTAGATTTTCTCGTAGCATTAGAGAATATATCTCTTTGTTCCCTGATAGTTGCGTCATAAAAAACTTTGCCGTTAACAATAGCCTTCCTTATGTTTTCTGTAGTGGTACTCAAAACTCTCGGTGGTCGAACAAATGTCGTTTCGCTGACTTCCAAGCTTTTATCTGCAATTCTGTCCCTTTCAATGTCGTCTTTCGAAACTTTTTGAATAATTCCTCTTCTTTCCGTCGTAGGAAATTTATTTCCAAAATTAAAGTCAACTAAATCTTTGTCAATAGCTATATTTTTGGCTTCTAAATCTTTTTGGGAACGTTTCTCTAAAATTAGTTTACTGCCACGTCTGGAAGCTAATAATCTTCCAATTGCTTCTATTTGTCTCTCTTCAGCCTCTAACGTTTTCAAATCAGGTATTTTTTCTCCCGTTTTTACATCTTCAATATCTAATACTTCGATTGGTCCAGTAAAATCTACTAATTTGTCATCAATACCTTTAACCTTTTCGTTCTTGTCAACAGTTTTTACATTTTCTGGTTTAATTGTTTCAACGTCGGATTTATTTACTGTTATATTTTTTTCTTCAAATTTTTTTGGAATTTCTTTTATTTCAGGTTTTCTTGTAGTAGTAGTTGTTGTTGTTGTTGTGGTCGTAGTAAATTTATCGAAATCAATATGAAATATGTCCTCGTCGGTTATATTTCTAGTTTTTTCGTCCCTATGGTTCCTGGCTTCGACTACGTCTTTCGGTCTCTCTGTAACGCTGTTGAATTTGGGTGGTGGTTGATCTCTTGGAGGTGATATAGGAGTGCGTGGGTAGTTTTCTGTGGTAGTGCTTTTTGTTTCGTTGTATGTGAAGTAAGTCATGTTTGGAGGCGGACCATTGTGGAGGTAAGCTACCGGCCAATACCTATAAACAGTAAATTATTGCACTACATTAATATAGAAATTATGAATAAGTGATAGAGCTGAGATTATTATCACAAAGAAATTCAAATTTTTCATTCTCATTTTTAAGAAAAGTGATGATGATGACTGATATCAAAGCAATTTGGAAAAGTTTCAATAGAAATGTCATGGCTGTATCAGGTCTGTGAAAAAGATTAGACAAGAAAACCATTCTCTACTTTACAAAAAAAAAAACAGTTAGTGTAAATAATACTCTTATTCTAACACGCCTTGTTGTGAAATCAACTAAAAAAAGTTTTATAATTATTGAAAGAGACAGATACAAACCTAGGTACACCCAATCCGCTGGCAGTTGGTGGTTCCTCTAATGCCTGTGACACCCAACCCCCAGAGCCAGGCTGGCGATAGTTATGCCTATACCTTATGTAAGGACGTTCTGCCGTAGGGACCCGAGTATACCCTGGAAACCATGCAAGTTATTAGATCAACACTTACCATATAAAGAACATCAAGAGAATTCTTTGAGATACTGAGATCGAATGAAAGGCATGGACAGAAACAACTTTTAACTTTTAGTAGTAATATCTATTTATGTTTTGGAATTATTAAGGGCAATGAATTGAGAGGTAAGTTAACAATAGATTGTTTTCTAATAATTATTTAAATCCAACTAAAGCTAATTGTAGATTGTGAACAAACGTTAATGAGCTTAAGGAACTTCTTCTTCATCTGTATGTTCTATGTATCTTATATAAATTGGTTTAGAGAAGAGATTCTTGATATTATTTACATTTACTCATGGCTTCTAAACTGCAGAATCTGTACACTTAAAATTGATATTCTATATGTTGTGATCATCATATTGTTGTAGAGTAGGAGATGACACTGTGGCGGCAACATTAATACGCCCCGCAAATATAATATGAGATGGCACTACCGGCAGCGCACTCAATATAAGGAAAGCCTCGATCGCGCTAGTAAAATTTAGAGTTAACACAATCTTAATATACAGAGCCCAAACAACATCGGTCAACTGCGGCCCTCAAGCTAAGATCCAGCTCGGTGAAAGATCTTGTCGTTAGGTTATCCTACATCAATTTAAAGTTGACGACACATATATTATCGATTTCAAGAGTACAGCCTTATAAAAAACACAAAGACACATTAAATACAACATAATAGAGTTAATAATGGTGTGACATTGCCGAGTTATCTCATCGGTTTGTTTGTTGATTGGCTAATGGTCGTGAGAGGTGTCAAAGTGATGGTGAATGCGTTGGCTGTGAAAAAATATTATTAAATTTTAGATAATATGGTATAAAGTTTACTAAGGGCTCAATGAGGGTTTTCTGGAGTGACGGCGGTCAGGTGGCAACACTGAGACTAACTCCTCATTCGTCAAATCACGTATATCGTCTTAGTCTATAGATCATTTCATATGCTCGTTCGATAGCTCGCACTAAAAACGTCATACAAAAGTCCTTAACTCACAATGGCGTCAACTGGTGACGTAAATTTTCCTAAACATCCTCATCGGACTATAGCTGTTATATTATATACCTTTCTCAATAGTTTTCTATTTATTAGATTTAAAAGAAAGGGCGAGAATTATTATTTAATATTTCTTACGTTGGAATAATTTCTATGACATTTCCCAGTTTCTAATGTAATATCTTAATTTAAATTTCTTGACTTCATATCTTTGTTATATCTATCAATTAAGGAAGGAAATGAGTACCAATATTCGTGAACAGACTTATGGTTCAAACTCTTTAATAAACGTTGACATTTGTCATTCAATGAACAGAGACAAAGATGCAGCAACTAGTCCAAGCTTATTCTTCGTTCATTGATAAGGGGGTTAGTGTAGCTACTAGAAAAATTTAAACATCTGGAATTTCTCTAAAAGTTATGATTACGACTGAAATAATTTTATTACTTGAAGGAGGAAATTTTGCATAACGATAAAGTTGTACCTACATAGCCTATGAGAAAAATAATCAGGTGATCAGACACAAAAGATTGTAGATTGTTGTTGTTTTATAGTAAATCCAAATTGTAGATTGTTTTAGTAAATCGGCAATTCCTTATTTTTATACGGATAAGTATAACTCAATCCGGGAAACTAAACCGGTTTACATTAAAGCTGTCATAGTTTAAAGGTAAACCTCTACGTTATCCCAATATCTCATAGACATATAAATTCATAGAGCTCTAAATTCCGCACTTATTTTTCCAAACACTAACTTCAGTAAGTAAGTATTAATTTACCAAAAGTTTTCTGCAAGGAGTATCAGATTTTAAACAGAAAATATTTTAATAAGTAAATTGTTTCAAACTTTTTTAGTCACTAACATTTCACTCGTAGTAAATATCGGAATTGCTACCATGTACCTTGTTATTTGGGTGTCCCCGATTTAAACTCTTAAAGTAGCTTAAAAACAGTCACGACGAAAAAATCAGATTTTTTGATAAGTATCTTAATTAACACACTGCAGAATAGGGTATTTGGTAGTATTAGTGCCAATTGTTAGTATCTGTATTAATAATGAATATTGGCAGGAGTTTTTACTATTTTTACAGAAAAAATATTCATAATTTTACTAAAAACCCACGATAAAGATAATAGTTTTCATGTCTATTGTCACGTGACCCAAAACGCTTGGGATTGGCGGAGCCTAAAATGACGTCACACGCAAGTAAACTTCCGGTTAAAGTGACATTTGATTGTATGGTTTGACGTTTTAATGACAGTCGTGTGACGTCACACACCAGTGAGACGCCATATTGTCCAGAGATACGTTTTTCGCGGGAATACACAACATAATGATGAATATCCACTATTTATGGACTCTATAAACATTAGTAAATAACGTGAGATCGTTTTCTAAAACTTGTCAAATACCCTATTGATGAAAAACAGTTATTATCCGGTTAATTTAAGTTACTACGATAAAAGCTATTCTTTTCAAGTAAAAAAATGAAAGTGTGACTAAAAAGTTGTGACAATAAAAACGTGCAGTAATGTGAAGTAGGTATAATAATGGTGCTCATGATTGCGCTTTTCTATTACGTGAATATGTGAATTCGCGACGATAATTATATGAGGTGATACTAAAATTCAAAATTATAATAACATGCCTGGTAAGGGATTTCCATATTTATCGTAATACGCCTGTGGACCATCTCTGTATAAGTTGTCCCAGTATTCTCTATCTGTGTTCGATATTTGTGGCCCGTGAGGCCGGTGTGGTCTATGCACTGGCCTATCTCCTCTATCAGGGCTATAACCATGGCCTGGTCTATGAGATAGCGAGTGGTCTGTAGGAGTGAAACAGGATTTTCGTACTTAAGTGTTTTTTAACTTTAGATGTCAAGTTTGTTTTTGATGTTAGGATGGTAAGGACAGATTGTAGCTCCTTTGGCTGCTAATAAAATTGTTAATGCCAAATAAGAATATTCAATGTATATTTACTTTTTTGGTATAAAGTTTAAAAAAGGAAAATAAGTATTTAAATGATCATCAAAAAGTAGTACACCTAACGTAACTTTTACGTTAGCGATAGTACTTTAGGTGATAATTTTTTGAAGATATATATAAATATATAGTCATATTTCCGGTTTAAAATGAATTGCTGAATTTTGAAATCTTATGATGATACTATTGTAGATTATCGGGTTGCTCTTGCCCTTCGTACTCGTATTATATGGAGCTCAAAATTTAAATAATATAAATAAATAAATAAGGTGTTAAGTAACCAGTCTTGAAGACTTATCTTTATGAGGCTATGATATTAAAGTAGCAAAGATAAATAAATAATAATAATAAATATTTCCGACACTCACACCAATTAGCCTAGCCCCAAAGTAAGCACTATAAGGCTTGTGTTATGGGATGCTAGGGTAACGGATAGAATACATATACTGTACATATATAAGTATATTTATATAGAAATACATATTAAACATCCATGACTGGAGTACAGATGCTCGTATTCATCACACAAACATCTGCCCCCACCGGGATTCGAACCCGGGACCTCTCGAGTCGGCGACAGCCATGAAACCCGGCATACAAACCACTCGGCCACGGAGGTCGTCAATAATATAGATAGATATATGATAAGTTTTTTCTTTTTTATTGGTAGAATCAATATTGAAATGTATTTGTGCATAATTCATATTTTTTTGAAAAGTATTATTTCGTTTTTACTCGTATGGTGAGTAGTATTTTACGGTGTAAACTGGAGCCAATTAATTTGGATCCTGTCCTGTCTAACAAAATTTCCACTAATTTTTTCACCTAACTCTTAAAGAATCTTTCTTCCTTTCTCTTTATCTTTTTTCTCTTTCTCATTCAATCCTTACCTCTATGACTGTTGCCTTGGGAAGGATGAGGCACTTTGTGTTGATGGTAAGGGTAGTATTTCTCGCTGCAAGGACGCCACTGGTCCTCAGAAGTTCCCACGTAACACCTGGGAATTTGTAAAATTATAAAAATATGTTAAATATTGTTCTGACATAAAGTTTGTGTAGTCGCATTACAGTAAAAATAAAGGATAATTATAGTTATTACGAAACAGAGAAAAGGACGATTTTTTAAAACAAACTTTAGTTCTTTTTTTTTAATTATAATTCTAGAGCTATGTGACGATATTGCACTGCTGCTGCCAATTTAGCAAAAAAAATGGTATAAAGATGAAATAGACCTTGACAAGTGCGATAGAGTTACTTTAGTTGCAAGAATAACAATTGAATGGGACAGGTAGAGTAGTAGAGTATGGGATGAAATTTTGTAATTTGAACCTATTGTTGTACTAAATGAGAATAATATGTATGCTATATTGTTTTAAACTTTCATGGTCACTAAAATTATAGAAATTTATGCTATTTACGGGATTTTTACCATGCACCTTGTTTTTAGCGAGTTTCCGATATTTCGGCACTGTTGCAACCGCTATAATTACGGAGTGATTGTGTTGCCGAAATATCGGAAACTCTCTTAAAACAAGGTACATGGTAACAATCCCGTAAATAACATAAATTTCTATAATATGGATGTTCACTAAAAAGTTTATTTTTACCATGGCTTGTGGAATCCTTCGCTGTAACCACACCGATGTGTCGGAGCACAGCAGTAGTCCCAAGAACCTTAGGGAAAACATCGAAATATTTAAGTCACTAAATTTTACTATTGAAAATAAACTGTTTTAATATCTATCTCTAATATCTAAATCTTCAATAATTTCATTACAATATAAATGCCATTAACATCTTTCCATTTTTTAAAGTAGGCATCTTTAAATATTACTTATCTTTACAAGGGAATTTTCTTTATTACTAATATTTTCTGAGAAATTGCTCAATTTGACTTCTTCATACATATTAGTATTATAAAACCTATTAATTTATTTATACTTAACATAAAATTCGTTTATGTTAAGTTAACTTATTAATTGTGTACGATTGTGTTTCAATAACATTGAACTATTACTAAATAAATTGTGGTTTAGTTTAGTTTTTATGTTTTCTTAATTTTCTTATATGGTTTGTGGAGACTAATAAATATAATTATTATTGTATTTATATATTTTTTTACTATCGTCCAAGTTCTGTACTCACCCACTTCCCCTCCTTCTGGCTCGCAAGCCCAATGGCCTGCTACCTGGTTCTGGGCACAAGTAGTACCGGCTCTACAGGGAAACCCTGACACGGTATAATGACGCCACGATACTGATACTGCAATGGATAATGAACCTTAAGTAAAAACTTGTACGAGCGCAATTTCTTTTATTGATCTATATATGAAATCACACAGATCTAATCTGTGATCAAACAAAATTTATAAAAATATGAGATAGAGAGTTTGTCAATTTTTACAAAAGGCTTTCATATTAAAAAAAATAATTATTAAAATCGGACTACCCCGTTAAAAGTTATGCGGTAGATTATACATAAAAAATATACTCGTCGACTTGCGAACCTCCGCCGTTTTTTCGTCGGTTGAAAATCATATGGAATATAATCATATATCATATCACAACGAAAATGGAAAAATGTTGCAATATAAACTCGTTATGTATATAAAAAAATATATTATTAGGTAAAAATATATTATTATATAGGTATTCTAATAGTAAGTAGGATGCTGTCTATTGTTAATTTAGTGAGCAAAATGATAAATGTAACTAAGAAAAAGTGCTCAATTAGGTGTAAGTTCACAATGAAGTTTAGTGCTAATACAGATTTTAATTTTGAGGAAAATCTAAGCATTTTTGTGGTTTGTTAAATGTTGAATAATGATTGAATGTTTAGAATAATGAAATTCAATGGCGCACAAAAATGTTAAAAACAACAAAAAATATGTTTTTTTCTAAAACTCAATCTTGTTTACCTGTAAAAATAAAAAGATCATTTGAATCAGTCGATTAATTTCGTTTAAAAGTTAAAACAACAATGGACTTAGTTGAAAAAGGGAATTCATTACAAGTACATACTTGGGGATTTCAACGCGCACCCCGGTGAGTTATTCGCTTGTGAACTATTTAATTTTTGTGCTGAACAATCTTGGTCTTGTATAGACACTAAGCTCCTTCCTTCGAATACTTACACATACATAAGTGATGCTCACGGATGTAAGCGATGGTTGGACCACATTTTAGTGACTGACTCCTCACGGCAATCAATAATTAACTGTGTTGTCTTAAATGATGTTTATTGGTCTGACCATATACCGTTGCAAATAGAATGTAATTTAAAGTTGTTAAAATCTAAATATGTTTCTTCAAGTAAAAATTACTCTGGTAATAAGATTGTCTGGGGCACAAGGAATTTAACTCAAAGAAATAAATATTTTGAAAGTTGTAATTTAGAATTAAAAGAATTTAATTTTCCTATAGAATTTGGTAATTGTGCGGATAATAAATGTCTTAAAAAGGGTTGTAGACTACTTTTGGATAGTATGTACGATAAAATTGTAAAAATTCTTTCAGACGCTGCTGTTACTAGTAATAATTACAGTAAACGAAAGTGGAAATATAAAATAGGTTGGAATAAGTATGTTAGAGAGTCTCACAGGAGGGCTCAGGAATGTTATTATAAATGGTTGTTGTTTGACAAACCAGGTAGTGGTTGCATTTATGAAGACATGTATAACTCACGTAAAATATTTAAGTCACGTTTAAAATGGAGTCAAAATAATTCCCAACAAGTTAAAATGGATTTATTGGCTGACCATCACAAAGAAAGGAAGTTTCATCAATTTTGGAAATGTACAAATAGTTTAAGTGGCAAGGTGAGCCTTCCTGTGAGTGTCGCTGGCTGTCATGAGCCACTTGAAATTGCGGAAGCATTCAGTCGTAGTTTCAGAGTACAATCTTCTTTGGGCGCATGGTTGCCGGAGCTCAATGCTGAATGTCAAAATGCCATGCCTAGTGATCGCTTCTCCGCCAAGGAGGTAGCGTTTGTGATTAAGAATATGACCAGGGGGAAATCCCCAGGCCACGATGGCCTCAGTGTTGAGCATCTGCAAAATGGCGGCGTACATTTGCCTAGAGTCTTGGCAATGTTTTTCTCGCTGTGTCTGAATCATTCCTATTTACCTGATAAACTGATGTATACTATTGTAACACCCATTGTTAAAAATAAAACGGGTGACATATCGGAACTGTCAAATTATAGACCAATTTCATTGGCCACTGTTATTGCGAAAGTTTTGGACAGTCTGCTTGATAAACGCTTAAACAAACATTTACATTTGCACGACGCACAGTTTGGTTTCAAATCTGGGCTGTCAACTGAAAGTGCAATTTATTTGCCTTAAGCAGATTGTTCAATATTATACTGCTCGAAAAACACCGGTATACGCTTGTTACCTGGACCTGTCGAAAGCATTTGATTTGGTATCATATAATATACTTTGGAAAAAACTAAAATTTGAAACCAGCCTTTCTGATGAATATATATCGCTGCTTAAATACTGGTACAATGGTCAAAGAAATAGTGTTCGATGGGCGGGTGCCTATTCTAGTGCATACAAGCTTGAGTGTGGCGTAAGACAGGGAGGAATAACCTCACCACGTCTTTTCAATCTTTACATCAATGCGCTCATTGGGGGGCTCAGCAGCACTGGCGTAGGTTGTCACATAGACGGAGTCTGTGTGAACAATATTAGTTATGCTGATGATATGGTGCTGCTGAGCCCTTCAGTGGGTGCTTTGAGAAAATTATTGGGAATTTGTGAACGTTATGCAGAAGCTCACGGGCTTAAGTATAACGCGAACAAAAGTGAGTTTATGGTATTCAAAGCTGGGACAAAATGTATTAGTCCTGATTTACCTGTCAAACTTTGTAATGCAAATTTAAAGAGAGTATTTCAATATAAATACCTTGGCCACTGGGTTACAGATATGTTAAAGGATGATATAGATATTGATAGGGAACGTAGGGCGCTGGCAGTTCGATGTAATATGCTAGCTCGCAGGTTCGCACGTTGTACAAAGCAAGTAAAAATTACACTTTTCAAGGCGTATTGCCAGTCTATCTACACGTGTAGCCTGTGGGTCCGATTTACGCAGAGGGCTTACAGCGCACTACGGGTCCAGTACAATAATGCTCTCAGGGTGCTGTTGGGTTTGCCGTGGTGTTGTAGTGCCTCAAGTATGTTCGCAGATGTGCATATTGACGGCTTTCATGCCATAATAAGGAAACGCTGCGCGGCACTGCTGAGCAGAATACGTGGCAGCACCAACAGCATCCTGTCGGCACTAGTTGATAGGTGGGATTCTCCACTGTTGGAGCGCTGGTTGCATTTGCATGCGAAGCCCCCGGGCCGCATGTAGGGGGTGCCTTGTGTTCCAGCAGGGGATGATTATATTATTTTATTTTATTTGTAATCTATTTTATACTTTACTAACATAGTTTTTAAGGTACATTGTTACTAACATTTTATGGACTTAAATTGTCTGAGAATAAAAAAAAAAAAAAAAAAAAAAAAAAAAAAAATTACGTTTTCTACTTAAAAAAATATTTCCCATAAAAATGAGATCATAAATACTTAACAGTACTTACTTGGTTCTTGTATTTCCCTATCCCCATAGCCTGGCCTATCTGGGCCTTTTGGCCTATCCGGGTGCGGTCTATGCCCAGGCCTGTATTCAGCATCAGCATGAGGTCTATACTCGGGTCCATGGCTTGGATACCTATCCGGTCTGTAATCATCATACCCGTGTTCACTAGGTTCCGGAGGTCTGAAACCAGGTTTGAAGCCATTATACCCGGGTCCTGTGGGCTCGGAAGGTCTGAACCCTGGTCTGAAACCATGGTACTCCGGTCCGGAGGGTTCTGAAGGTCTGTATGTGGGTCTAGGTCTGTAATTTGGTCTACTTGGAGCCGGGTATCCTGGTGCGCTTGGTTCATCCGGGTAAGAGGGTTTGAAGCCAGGCCCGGAGATTTCTGGACCACTTGGATCGATGTAAATCGGTTTTTTGGGTCGTGAATACCCGGGTTCATAGCCAGGTCTGGGTGGTGGACCAGAATCGTGAATGTAGTGTGGTTCTGTGAAAAAATAAAATAACACTAAAATTTTAAGATTGCCTTTAAAAAGCAATTGCGCTCGGAGCATACTGATTTGGAAACACTTAGCCTCTTTAAATTTTTAAGAAAGTAGGTATGTAGGTATTCTATAATTATTCAAAGTTGTCAAAAAAATGGCAACTATGCCAAAACTTTGTAAAATTTAAGCAAGAAGAAATCATACTGATAAATTTTACTAGAACAATCATTTTATCACAGTTTTTTCATTGAAAGGACTATTGTGCATTCTTACTTAACAAATATTTTTGAATGCTTACCAACTGGCCTCGGTTTGTACGCTGGTCCACTTGGACCTGAACCCGGGTATAATTCTTCACTGGATCCGGATATGGGAGTTGGAATTTCAGCAGAGTGCTCGCTATATTTAAAATTAGGTTACAACATTTAATAAGGCATTGCATTAATGATTCTGTGACTTCATGAGTTATTTCATATTTAAGCCATTTTTCAATTTAACTACTCTGTATATAATACAGGGAGAAAAAAACAGCCCTTGCTGAGTTTCTTGCCGGTTCTTCTCAGTACAAGGTCTCCCGCCGTAGATTTGAGAACCGATGGCGTAGCTTTTCGACATTCACAAGTGCTTGTAACAGCCTAGACTGTATAACGATATTGAATTTTGTTTTTTTTTTTTAATTTTGATTGATGTATTTGTGGTGATTACAGTGGTGTCAAAATTCATGCATGCCCTTGATACAAAATAAGAGCGGACTTCTGCTGAGCCATCAGGACACGCGTTTTCTACATCCAAACTGGGATCCTTCAAAAAGGCTTGTTTAAGCATTTGTGTAGACCGGCAAGGTGAGGATAGCTGGTTTGGTAGTTCTAGGCTTCTTTACTAACTTTTTCGCGACTGGAATCTACCAACACTCAAATATCAGGTGCGAGGTCTACCTAAATATGTATAAATAAATAGAAAACCTGATATCATCAGAAAACTTTGAAAAAAAGATGGATGGAATCGATAAAGTTATTCTCAAGTTAGCGCATGACCAAGGGAAACAGAAATTCATTTGTTTAAAAAGAGATAAAATAACATTGCTGACTCACTCGTATTCTTTTCCATGGACTTTCCTCCAACACTGTCCATTGAAGAGATCGAACGCAAACAACCAATCGTCCTCCGAGTACTTGTAGTCGACGCCCCGTTCCAAGTCGAATAAACGGATCTCTGAGAGTAAGCAGTTGTCTACACCGGGGGGTGCATTGTTGCTGGAATGGGGAGGAACATATGAAAAAAGCTGACCACCTTAAAAAGAAATATTTCGAAATATGAGCGAGCACTGTTTGGTCTGTGTTATCACTTAAGAGCCCTTTTTTTTGCAAAAAAATGAAATTTTTGAGCGCCTCGTTTATCCTTTTAGAAAAGATTTTGACTATTTTCAATAGAAGTAAACAGTAGATTTATTCTTTCTATTGTAATTTAATGTAGAATATTTGCAAATACTATTTTCCTTTTTTTGTACTGATCGTTCTACCACAGGTAGTTTACGGAAAAAACGATAATATGCACTACTTCTAACGCACTACGACATCAGAAATATGTTTTTGTTGTAACATAATGTATTAGAATTTTGATTTTCCATCTCAATAATTATCAAAAAAATCATCTAACCTCTGTGAATTTTCCCAAAAAACGATTGCAAGTTTACCTCGTAATTTGATATTGAATTAAATAGAATTACTATCATAAACTTTCATAAAACTAATCTGCCATCATTGAACTCCTGATATATATATATTTTTATAATTAGTTCATTAATAACTATTTTATAGGACTCAAAACATCACCCGTAAAATGCAATATATACTAGTGCAAATCTACCTACGCGCCGATCAGTACGGCAGAGGCGCAATTTTGTAAAAGGGCTCTTAACAGATCAACCCTAGTATCCCTACTAGGCTAATGCTTAGAAATACATTTAATGGGACAGCCAAGACTTTAGTAAAAATACAAACAAGTGCCTTCCTGGGATTCAAACCCAGGATCCCAGAGTACTTTGGTGAGATCTGTATTTATCTCATCATTTGTATTTATACTGTATGACACAGCAAAATGTGAGTGGACATTGTATTGGTAGTGACATGATTTTATGTAAATGTTACTGCTTCTTTTAGAAACTGATGAGTTTCTTGCGTCTTCATCAGCTGTAAGATTTTCTGAATGGGTAGCAATTGGACAGGAAAAAGTATTGGAAGATACAAAGGAGTTTTCAAGCTAATCTGAAAAAAGTATCATTTCATTTCATCTTGAAAACTGGATTTGAATAGAATTTGATATCCTTCCGGATTTTGGAATCCTCTCAGCCCAGTAATCAGCCTTTTTACATTCCTGCCCTTATTACTCTGCTAGCATCTGAGCCAAATAGATGTACTCCTAGTAAAAAAATCTTCAGATACGTACCTGTAGGAAAAGCTGAGACATCTAAAAGGGGCGTCAGTGCAAGCCTGGCCACAAGCCTGTTCGTCCCTTACGAGTGCCTTGCCTCGTACAGCTGGCCCTACCAGTTTAGCAGCATTGTCATATTGAAGGTAGCACTCTGAAATAAAAAACTTTATCAGTTAACCCTGACATTGGCATCTAATATGAAGGAGTTTATTAGTATCGTCAGCCTTTTAGTATCCCTATTGCTGAGGGGTTTGATGTTTAAAGACCGTTCTTTATAAGTCTTTTTCTAGTTATGACCTCTTCTGGATTCGACCACTTATTGTAAAATCTAGTTCTTGTATGGACCACTTCCCTATTCGAATACCTTTATTATGATGATCAAATAAAAGAAACGTCGTCGTCCAAATTTTATACGGTTGTGAGAGACGCGCTGGACAGAAACCGGTGCAGGCAGATCATCCATTCCAGATGCAACTAGCATGCTGACCACGATACGACCACGAGAGAGAGAGAGTAACACATCAATAAGACAGTCAATTTTTTTTGAAAAAAAAATGTTCTTTTAAACACTACTGAAAGTAAACGAAAAACGAAATGGACAATCTAGCAGAATTGGTCAAAAACAGGAGTGGTCGTATGCTGAGGCAGTCATTTCGAGAAGTGGTCCAGTAGTCTAACCCTGCTGGGGCAGAGACCTTCCCTAAGGATGATTAGGTCATGATGAATACAACACGAACTCAGTGGCGATGGCTTGGTGCTAGCGACTGTAGATGGTTAAGAAAATGGTCAAATGGGAATTAGTTACTAACTAAAATGTGATCTAAGCTTCTTTAGAAGACGTAGACGTAGAGCATAAGTAATCTTGGAATTTGAAAACATATTTACGTCTTGAGTAAAGTTTACTGATATTCCCACACTTACACTAAGCCTAATACCAAAGTAAGCAATGTAAGGCTTGTGTTTTGAGATAATCGGGTAACGGGTAGAATACATATATTGCTACGTATAATAAGTATGTTGTATCTAGAAATATATATATGAACATCCATGACCAAGGCGCATATGCTTGTACTCATCATACTAACATTTGCCCCTATCAGAATTCTAACTAGACCTCTAGGTAGGCGACACCTTGAAACCCACCACCACGTATATACCACTCAGCCACGGAGGTCATTAAGTGGTAGTAAAGGGTGGCACATAATGAGGTCAAGGTCAGCGGCTGTACTCTTTTGATATTATTGTGATAGTCATCGTAGAAGGCGGACTACGATGACTAAGTTACGTACCTCAATCAGCAAAAATCTGGTCGGTCTGCCTGTCACAGTTGATCTACTCGGAATCGATTAAGTTGTAATTTACAAGTTTCAATGTACATACAGAGTATGTTGAGTGTATTTTGGTATGTATGTGACACATTTATTTGAAATTTACTTAATATAATATATGATAATTGACTTTTGACTTGATTGAATGTCCAAAACTACTATGTCTGAATTTTTGAATCTTTCGACAGTAGTAAGCTGCATTATTATTTTCTAATTAACCTATGTTAATGGTTTCCATTGGCCCGACTTTGTATGATTGGATAAAGCATAGGCTTCATTTCATCGCGTCCAAATAAACTCCAATAGTACAAAGTTGAGGAGCTCGATGGCGCGGATGTTTAGCACGTCCGGCTGCGATAGTTGAAATTAAGCAACCTTCGCTGTAGTCGGTCATTGGATGGGTGACCAAAAATCTTCTATCTCGAGTTCCTCTGTGCTTCTGAAGGCACGTTAAGCCGTTGGTCCCGGCTATATCTGCAGTCTTAAGCACCCGCCAATCCGCACTGGGCCCGCGTGGTGGGTCATGGCCCAATCTCCCTATTCCATTAATAGGGAAGGCCTGTGCCCCAGCAGTGGGGACAGTAATAGGCTGATGATGATGATGTACAAAGTATGGCTGATCGCTAAAATGTAATACTTACGTTTCTCCCTGTAATGTGCGTGGTCATATAACGCCGGTTCGCAGCCCCTACCATAGTTTCCTCTCGCGTACAACTCGTGCCCAGCGGTGGGACGAAGCCCACGACCGCTTTCTAGCGAAGTCGGGGGTGAAGAAGTCAGGATACAGTTCTCTATGTCATCTCCTATTGTCGGGGCGTCGAATCTGCAAAGGGGAATATAGCTAATCATATTCTTTATGGGAATGTATATTACCTGTTGTAATATACATCACTCAATGTTATACTCAGTACTCAATGTTTTATTGTTTTCCATATGTATACAAGATGTTACAAAAAGAAATGCACATTCATGGACCCCGTCGGGCAAAACAATCAATTAAATATTAAAGTATTATGTGGCCTAACTATACTGCCGGGTTATGTTATTTGGCACCGAAGTACTGGAAAAATATGTACTGACCCCCAAATATTCATTTCAGACATTATTTTGGTATGTTACCCTTATAGTCTGCGCAGTCGAAAGACTTTTGACCGCGGACCAGACAGGACTAAAGCGGGAGTCCCTAAAAAATAGAACTCATGGGACTAGGTGCAGCAACGTACACAACACAGCCAGGACATGGACACAGTATTCTCTTTGAAAACGTCTTCTCTATTTCTTATACTTTATGTTAATTACAACGCAAGGTAGTCTGAGGATATTTACTTTCATATAGTGCACTTCTTTGAATGCCTCGATAACAAATGTTCGCACACCGTGTGTTCGTGACTAGTCCTCGGCAGACATTTCTTCGCGACCCTGGGACTTTTTTCCTCTGCGGATAAAAGACCTTCATCTGCGCAGGCCACGTCACTACTGACCACAACTAAGTCACATATTATAAATGAGAAAGTTTTTACGTATGTTACTCAATCACGCAAAAGCAGCTGTATTGATTTGGATGACGTTTGGCACAAAATTTATTTAGCTACTTTTTACCCTGGAACAATGTTATGTTCCTGTGGGATTAAAAAAAAGTAAATATAACGCGAACGGAGTCACGTTGAATCAAAGTGTCTAGGTAATTCAATACTGACCTGAAGCTGAACCCTCTGCAGAAGAAGGAATGCGCTCGTATGCACTCCGCCTCGCAGGCGCCCAGCCCTGCGACAGTGAGTGCCGCCCTTACAGCGTCTCCTCCCACCGCCGCCCCAGACCGCACGTGCCAGAAACATTCTACGCCCAAAAAAAACATATGAATATCACACAATAAGAAAATGTACACACAGATCAGACTAGACCCAAAGAAGCGCCGGCCGCCCAAGACCACACGTGCCAGAAGCATTCTACGACCAGGCGAAACAAAATACAGATACAAAATAAATGAATTCACACCAATCAGCCTCTAACCATTCTATGGCCAGGACGAACGAATCAAAATTACAAAAAAAAATTGAGATAACTTGCTTTGACTTTGCTAAAGCTTTTGACAATGTCTCATACACGAGTCTTCTCTTCAGGCTTAAAGTATACGACTGTCAGAACTTAATCAACCTGCTCTCTGTGTTTATTATGATCGCTTCCCATCAGATGAGGCATAAGAAAACATTTGTCCAGTACATCGTGGGTATATCAATCTCGCTATATATGAAGTGACAATATTTATATTTTCATTATCTTATATTTTCACGCACACCAGTCATTTAATGAAACACTTTTGTACATCTATAAAGCGCGCTTTTATTACTTTTTACACTATTCTCGACATTGGCGCAAGATCTGTATGTAAAATGTAAAATAAGTCTTACCGCTCTCGACCCAAGGTTGGTGGTTGACCACGGAGCATCCCTGATGCAGAGGCATCGCGTATACATCAGACCCGCTGTCCGTGGACAGTTCTAGTCCCCGGTACGGCCGTTCGCTCAGGAAGCAATTGTCAGAACCCCGACCACTCGAATATCTGGAGTAATTGAATTAATCTTATTCTGGCTTAAGAACTGAACTCCTAGTTAAATAACGACCAGATAAGGCAAATGCTGCGACATTGCTTTCCACATAAATGATCTTGGATTCCAATCTCACTAAATAGGAATAATTAAAAATGGTACATAAGAATATATTGTGTCAGTCGAAATAGGTATATGAGATCAAAACGAAACATGATATGACAGCAATAAGTGGATCTGGTACATTGCTATTTCAATTTTTACAGTAGATTTCGTCGAGCTCTGACTCTGACTTTGGACTATAGCTTTATTACCTACCTGTTTCGGAAGCATTTCCTTTTAGAGAATTCCTGTGGATTCTATATCTTGCGATTAACTATTAGTGTTAATATAATACATAGATTATATGATACTGACTTTTTAACTGACACTCTAGTACAAAAGCTTGATAATAATCTTAGCCCGAGGATTAGAAACTTGGGTTTAGATCTAAAATTAGAAATATTAGCAAAATTTAATGTTTACCTATAGCTATATGACACACATTTGAACTCGCTCTCATCAAAGCAAGCCGCTTCGCACTCAACCACATTACGAGCTAACAAGGATCTTCTTATTGCACCTGACCCTAAAGACATGCCCGGACGGCGACGGGAGGAACAATCTGAAATTTTACAAAAACGTTTACCACTATTGAAAAATTTTTAGATGGGTAATAAGTACGTAGTGTATGTTCTTGTTAAAAGTAATTGGTATGAATTAAAAACTTATTAAGCATTTCAGAACGCGTAAAACGCGGAAATACAAAAATCGAAAAAAAAAAAGATTTAAAATCAGTCAAAGATTAAATTTTAGTGTCCGAATATAAATTATCTTAAATATAATTAATAATCAAAAGTGGAATATAATAATATGAAACTATATTAAATAGTGAATTCTCAGGTACCTACCTACTCGCAAAGTATTTCACAACAATACTATTATTATAATGAAATTAATTTTCAATTTAATATTGAAATAGCAATCAAAAATTGGTATTGATCAGGATTCAAAATTAGGGATGAAATTGCCATGAACTAACATACATACGTAAAATTTATTTCATAAGTACCTTTGAAAGTGACGTCATCATCATTCCTATCTACTGGTTCGTAGTAAATTTGTGGTTTGTCATAGTAAGTTGACTCTCCATAATCCATGCCATTGGAAGTACCGGAATTGTTCCATCTGCCCCTCTTCCATGCACCATAACCATACCTAAGTTTAAAAATTACAATCGTCACTAACAAAAATAGCAAACACATCTAATAAGTCAGATCCAACTTATAATAAAACTACTTGATACATTTATTAATACTAGTGAGTGTCTGCGACTTTGTCTGCGTGGAAATATTAGTTTCCCATACAATCTTTTAATATTATATGTTGCAGCGGTGCGCTATCCGCATCATTGGCGATGAAGAGGTAACCAAAAAAACTCAAGTCTCTACAATTACGCCGCGATGTGGCATCATTAAGCGCATTCTACCGACTATACCACGGCGAATGTTCTGAGGAGTTATCCCTCCATCACCTTTTCTTCAGAGGACCACGCGCGCTGGCCTACGTTGCCACCGACTTACTGTGGCCACTATTCCTACACGAACAAAGAAATTTGGTAACTCATTTCTTTGTCGTACTATTCGTAAGTGGAATTCTTTACCCGCGCAAGTGTTCCCTCCTTCCTATAATCTGGGGTCCTTTAAGAGAGGCGTGAAGAAGCATTTTTGCAGGCCGACAAGGTGATGATGATTGGTGTAGCAGTTTATAACTGCTGTACCAGCTATCTTTGCGTTTGGACTTTATTACCACTTAACATCAGGTGGGGTAGAGTCATTTGCCTACCTCTATATATATAAAAAAAAACTCTTTTACCCCTTTACGTGGTGAGTCTTGGTAAATCCTTTTTTATTGCATGCCTATATCATCACACTAATATTATAAAGGCGAAAGTTTGTGAGTGTGTATGTTTGTTACTTCTTCACGTCTAGCGATTATAATAAAATATGGTATGGAGTTAGCTGACACCCTGGATTAACACATAGGCTACGTTTTACAGCGGGAAAATATCATTAACAAACCGCGGGTAACACCGCGGGGCACAGCTAGTATTATATATACGTGTGCGAAATATCAGCACAATCCGTCCAGTGTGTCGTTGAGCTGTGAGTTGATAGATCATACAGTAAGGGTAACCTCTTATATATACGGATACATTCCATTACATTCATACGGCTATTCGTCTCTGGAACGATCTTCCGGAGAGTGTGAGAAAAGCACCCAGTAAACCTGCTTTCAAGGTCCTCGTACGTCGGCATTTCGCTAAGAAGTCATAACAATTTCAATTTCTAAGTATATTATAATCAAACTCTGGTCAATCCGCTTAATATTAATATTATTTTTATTATATTTTATTATTATTTGTATTTTGTTTTATTATAGTATTGTTAAGTAAGTATAGAGGTATTTATTATTGTATATATTTAGGTATTTATCGTATATATAAATATGTATGTATATATATGTAGTTATGTAAGTATATTTATAGATGTTATGTATTATAATTTTACATTAAGTATCATGTAGTTTTATCATTTTTTTTTTATTTCACCTTTTGCTTTTATTTACTTTACCGCATAATTGTCTCTGCTTAGCCCGATGGTTGACTGGTAGAGAATGCCATGTGGCATTAAGTCCGCCATTTGTTGTAAATAACAATAAAGAGTAAATAAATAAAATAAAAATAAATACATTGTTACAAATGATTACTTAAAAGGTATATTGTCTTTTTTGACCGTATATTAAACTTTAAAGTGATCAAAGTCATTTTCCTTGCTTTAATAGCAAAACAGAACCTTTTATTGGCCGTATACCGTATGCCTATACAATACTGAGAAGACCTGGTATCTAAGAAATTTCAACTAAACTAACAAGCAAATAGAGTTCAGTAAGCACTTTATTTTTTGAAGTGTAACTTTTTTTCCTATGGGCTGTAAATGGAAAAATCCTATGAAAAAGATGAACAGAAATGCGTCACCAGCGTCACACGACTATATATATAAACATTTATATGAGTAAAGCGTGCGTTACTTCATTCCCCTATGCCTTCTTCTTCCTCAACCACTATCCACCCACTGCTGAGTGAAGGTCTCTTCCATTGCACTCTATCTATTGCGATCTCGGGCAGACTGCATCCATTTCGCTCCGGCTATCCTAATGATGTCATCTGTCCACCGGGCTGGTTGACGCCCCACGTTTCTGCGTCCGGTTCTCGGCCTCCATTCCATTACCTTTCTGCTCCACCTGCCATCCTCGCGTCTACAGACATGTCCCGCCCAATTCCATTTGCTGCGGGAAATTACACAAGCGATGTCAGGTAACTTTGTCGTTCTTCGAATGACCTCATTTCTGATTCGGTCTCTTCGAGAAATGCCCAACATCGCCCGCTCCATGTCCCGCTGCGCAACTTGAAGTTGGTGTAAATGTTGCTTTGTGATGGTCCATGTTTCGGCACCATAAGTCATGACTGGAAGCACACATTGCTCATAGACACGGCGTTTGAGGTTTATTGGGATATTGCTCTTGAAAACATCGTTCAGTTTGCCAAACGCCGCCCATCCTAATTGTATACGACGTTGGATCTCGCGAACCTGTGTTTTCTTCCCCAGAGAAATTGTTTGGCCTAAATATGTGTATTGGCCTATGCTGTCTATTCTACCACCATTCACAACTATATGATCTGTCTCTTTTGTCATTATTTTTGTTTTGGAGGTGTTTATCTTTAGTCCGACGCGGAGAGAAGCTGTGTATAAATCATTTAGCATTGTCTGCAGGTCCATGATATTTTCGGAGAATAAAACGATGTCGTCTGCAAATCTCAGGTGAGTGAGGCGTTCGCCATTGATGTTAATGCCCTTGTCATTCCAATCGAGAAGCTTGAATATATCCTCTAGGCAAGTCGTAAACAGCTTGGGCGATATCGTGTCTCCTTGTCTCACGCCTCGGTTGACTGGAATAGGTTTTGAAATATCGTGTAATTTGATTTGTAACGTGGCAGAGTTATATATTTCCTTAAGAACCTCCACATATCTGGAATCGACCAGTTGTCTTAGAAGCGACTGCCAGACCGCCCAATGTTCTACAGTATCAAAGGCCTTTTCGTAGTCTACAAAGGCCAACGAAAGAGGCATATTGTACTCGTTGCATTTTCCCCTATGCCTTATGCACCACCTAATGTTAAGTTATTTCAGAAAAGAAGTTTGACTTCAGATGCGTGGTCCGTGCACACTGTTTTTTAATCATACAAATCATTAGATGTTGCGGCTTCAAAATTGATATACGGAAAAGAATTGTGTATATTATAATATAAAAATAAATATTTCAAATAATAGAACAATTTTCATTTCAAATCATCTATATTTAGGCAACATCTCACAATATCACGAACAATTTGAGGAGATTAAAAAATAAATATGTTTCTTACCTATGATTCAAGAATTTATCCTTGCCAAGGCTGTGGTAATCAAAGTCCCTATTATGTCCAGGTTTGACCCCACGAGGTCGCTCTATGTCGTTCGGTAGTCTCCAGTGGTTGATGGACTTGTGGTAGTCATTCCTGTCTTTGTAGTAAGTGTCATAACCTCCATAGGACCCACCGTAAACACCCCAATTTTCTATGTCTGCTTGGCCATCGTTGCTTCTAGCAACACCTGTATTAAAATAAACAAACTCATGATTTCATTTAATTCATAATCGTCAATAAATTTTTTGAAGAACCTAGGAGCTTGGTGTTCAAGACCGAATGCGTTTCCCGCATTCGGTTTATGATCAAAATTATCGTTGAGTAGCCACTATAGCCTATAGACGCTTGCGATATCAAAAATATCACTTGCACCTTTGCCTACCCTGACACAATCCCCTACCCCGTCAAGCCACGGAACCTGACTGACAGAAATACGACGCCACCAAAAAGTAGTTAAACTGATTATAATGAAGGGTTTTTATAATAACCATTTGTGGCCCTGTAAAGTAAAAGTTACTCTACAGAGCCACAGATGTTTGTAATTTTAAAAACGAAACAGTAACGAGTATTTGCCACAGCTACATTTGCTCCATAGCTACAAATAACTGAACAACAAAGATGTTCAGTTCCAGCTCTAGCTATTTATTCTTATCTACTACTCCTGTTCTTACTTTTACATGCTGCAACATTTTTTTTATTGCAGTGTTTTGTACGTTTGTAAGTCTGCAGTGAGCAAGTATGCCGTATTCACCAAGTTAGGTTGTTAAAATGCTTTTAATAGATCAGTTATTAGTTTCACTAAAGTTTCTTTCAGTCTTGTTCGTTGACGGCAATATGCCGCCAGAAAGTACTTATATATTAGTCACTCGATGATGATATTGCAGTTAAGATAGTATCCAATGTATCTCGTAACAGATTGAAAGAAATAAAAAGAAATCTACACCAGACCCCGTAGCATGAGCTTTTACATTGTATCGCGTCTGGCTTGCAAACTTCATAGTAATTTGACAATTAAGCGTGATAAAAACGCGTTATATATCGCGATACTAGTGCTAGCGGGCTGGTGGTCAATAATGATGCTCTGAACGCCACCGAAATTCAATCAATAGACTATATTTCACGAACATATTTCCATTGACGAATCTATGGTCAGGTATTACGGGGGCAAACCTGTACGTTTTGGTATGTACTTTGGACACGGTGACTCATGCAAGCATACAAACGTGCATAACAATATGACCTACTTAAAAAGGATTAAAGAAAAATTTACTGAAATTTGTGGTTCCAATTTAAATATTAGATGTTAATGATTTCCGAAACAAGTTCTTTTAAACATTTGTACGACAAACTTCAGTTGATATTTTTTTGTTAGGGGTTTCCCTTCTGGAATGTGGGGAGTAAATTTTCGGGAATTCCATAAAAAGGATATTTAAAAAAAATACCATGTTATTTTGGTTTACCTATCTGGTAAGGAACGAATAAGCGTTCGGGGTATCTCCTCCTCTGGTTACGCCTTCCGTCGTCATGGTAACGGTCATGTCCGTTGTATCTGGTGTCATAAACGTCCACTCTATCGCTCCATTGGCTTTGATACACAGGTAGTCTGAAAACCATTAGTTATTAGCTCAGCGTAGCAGTCCATTTTAGAATTGTTCTTTATGCGAATGCGTGGCAAGTCAGAAAAGCGTGCCACGACCACACGCGCATTCCAGGGACCTGGGTTCTCAAGGTGCGTGCCGGGTGAACGATGCAGGAGTATTATCAGGTCTATACTGGGTAGAGCCTTGGTATTTCACCAAGTTCTTGGGCTTGATGAAATAAGTATATACCTCGGTCACTCTTCTCCAGTGGATGGAAGGAGCCGTGCCTTTTCGAGACAAGAACGGATTGTTCTTTGAACCTTTTTAAAGGACTAGAGATTACTTAAGGTATCGTATACAAAGGAGGACAATTGAACCTTACTACAAAGCCACAATCGTCCATCCGTCGGTTTGTCTGTCAGACGGTTGTGTTTTTTGAACTGTACCAAGTGGGCTGTTGAAATTGTCTCAGAATATGTCTTTCGCTTTAATACATACAAGATCACTTAAAAATACCAAGATATAAAGCAAACACTTATATTATCCTACTGTTCCCAATAAAAGTATGTATTAAACATTTGATTTACCTTTCAGGTTTTGAGGATAAAAACCCTGAATGAAGTAACCCAGGGCCCCACAAGGTCTCCGGGCAGTTGGGTTCCAGACTGTTCCTGTCCACTTCATAGAAGTCATAATCCTTGTCATCCACGAAGTCTCTGCGGAGATCAAACGCTTCTATGGGCTGAGTCATTAGCTCACAGAGGCCTTTACCACGGAACGAAGGGTCCAATCTGGAAACAAGGAGGATTTATGAAACCTGAATGACCGATGACCACAGAAAAATAACAGTACCTTTTGATAATGTTCTGTTTCTGTTGAAGAGTAAGGTACCTGAGCTCCGCGGGATAGGGAATTGGGTCAACGCCGCGAGTGATATTTTGATATCGCAAGCCATCGCAAGCCAAGCCAAGTTTATATGCCGTGTTGGCCGCTTACCATCAGGCGGGCCATATCCTAGTTTGCCACCCTTTGACCAATAGACCACCCATAAAAGAAAAACTTATATTACGACTAGACTTCATCAATGTAAATACCAAAAAGTAGAGAAATTGGAAAGACTCGCATGCGTAGAGGAGAAAGAGGTACGTACACGTAAAATTTCTAATAGCGGAAAAGTATTAATCTACCGGTTTGAATGACGTAAGGTGGCCATACGATGAGGTAGAAAATTGTAAAATATATTCGAATGCGTCAGACATTTAGAAGGGATGTTAAGTACGTCAACCCTCCAGTAGCTCCTATTCAGAAGACTGACAACTTGGACGCGGCCAAAAGTCATGGCTTTCTTTTGCTGCCCTAGGCATTTGACCCTGTATAAAATAAAGAGCTCAGGTATGGTGGGAGTATTTCACAAGGTTCGAGGTTGCGCCCTTTCTTATATTATTCTGCCGTGCTCCTGTTAATTCCAAAATTTCCATTTGGGCTACTAGGAATACGTTATCATGTAAACAACGCACACTTGTCATTATTTTTGCTTGGACATACTCGAACCTGTGTTAATTAGACTGTGACCAAGGCTAGTACTGTGGCACCACGTAACCTGTGACACTCGCAATGCAAAAAACAACTTCATATGAACGAAACAAAGGGGAAACACGTTGTCAGATGTAGATTTGACTTACGTTTGAGGTCCCTAAGTTAATGTTATTGTTATGATAATAGTGGTAAATATTAGCGAATATTTTATAAGCCCTTTCGGAAGCTGGTCAGTTTGATGTTTAGTGATGAATTTGTGAGCGTGTAACTTTTTAGTTTCATTTTCGATTTTGAAATTGGTTTTACTTTTTATTAATTAACGTCCCCATATGAACCCAGCATCCAGAGTGGATTAAGGGTTGTTAATGACTGCAGATACAATGATGATCAATTGCTTGGCGTGCCTTCTATAAGTTTTGGTCACCTATCCTAAGAAAGGTCATTACAAAGTTACTTCACTTCTAAATTGTATTTATGCATATGTGTTACTATTTCAATAATGCCGCCTACCTATTCTATTGGGTGATGTGATTACATCTATGCAGGCTGTGACCTGCTTATTCACCAACCGTAAGGAGAAGGGCTTTGAGGGAGGTTACACAGTAATGACTTAAAGTACACGCTTTAAAGTTAAAGCTTCATACATTGGCTAGGAACTTAATAGAATTTAACAAAAATAAATATTGCTAAAAGCACAACCGTTCAAAATTAAGGAAAAACATTGATATTTTTTTTATCTTTTCTTATGTCAAAATAAGATTTTTAAACAAGTTCCATATCCTCTTCAAAATATGTATGGCATAATTCGATCGCTTATCACACTTCACACTAATATTTATAAAGGCGAAAGTTTGTGAGTGTGTGAGTATGTGAGTGTGTATGTTTTGTTATTTCTTCACGTCTAAACGGCTGGAGTGATTTTAATAAAATTTGGTATGGAGTTAGCTGACACCCTAGATTAACACAAAGGCTACTTTTATCCTGAAAAAATGTTAGGTTCCAGAGTAGTTCATATATTTCGTTTTATTTGTGCGATGCTATGAAACTAAAATAATACAAAACAATATTAAAAGCTACTTTTGAGATTCCAATATGAAGTTAGAAGCAAAGTACTCTGTGCGGTGTGAGGAATATCTCCCAAATGAGGATGATAACCCATGGTCTGTTAATCAAAAAGTTTTATCAGTTCCTAAGTCTAATGGATAAATGTTAATTATGTCGTATGCTAAATGTGATGATATGATATGATTATGATGACATGATATGATATAAATTGACTAGATAAATTTTTAAATTGGATTGATTTTGTTTAAATTTGATTGGACCTGATTTGATTTAATATGAACAACAATTAAGCTACAACATTTTTGCGCCGTGAAATTAATGTATATAATGGTTAGCTCAAGTTTGTTGCGACACCCCAACGGAGTCATGTACGAGTACCACTGACTATTAACTATGTAAGACCTTATAATAAATAATGTACATGAGCAATGTGAAATAAATAAATAAATTGTGCCAGATTTTTATATACAAGAACTACCTGTAAGATTAAAAAATCTATTAAGAAATTTTCTCAGTTTCTGGTAACTTCATTCATGGCTGAGAGTAACCACTACGTCATCGAGCTCCGTATTCCGCCAATTGTACAATCATATATTTTTTTAAATTATCTTTATCGCAGTTAACATAGAGGCCGCCGAAGCCTCCAAACCGCGTGACGACAATGATGTGAACTACCGTGGGAGTGTTACTACACTTATAAAGGTAATATAAAGATCATATTAGTATGAAATTTGAGTTGTTAACACAATATCTGACTGAATGATTAAACACTGTGCAAGTAATGGTGGAGCTACGATTTTCTGGCTTGTGTTATGGGATACTAGGGTAACGGACAGAATACACATAATAATAGATATATATAATAACTATGAGGAGCTCGATGGCGCAAGTGGTTAGCGCATTCGGCTGCGATCGTTGAAGTTAAGCAACTTTCGCAGTGGTCGGTCATTGGATGGGTGACCAAAAATTTACTGTCTCGAGCTCCTCCGTGCTTCGGAAGGCACGTTAAGCCGTTGGTCCCGGCTGCTTCTGCAGTCGTTAACACCCGCCAATCCGCACTGGGCCCGCGTGGTGGGTCATGGCCCAATCTCCCTATTCCATCCATAGGGAAGGCCTGTGCCCCAGCAGTGGGGACATTAATAGGCTGATGATGATGATGATGATAATAACTATAATTATTGTAGAAATACATACAAACATCCGTGACTTTGGTACAAATGCTCGTTTTCATTTATACTAACATTTGCTGTACCGGGTCTCGAACCTCATGAGTAGGCGACACGTTAAAACCCGGCGTTCATACCACTCGGCCACGGAGGAGATCAAATGTAATTTAGATATAATACGCATGAGAGATAGGGCATAATGGACTATCTGCACGCATTGGAGCGCCTATCTGGGGAAGCAACAATCTCCATCTTACAAAAGACAGAGTAAAATTACACTGGATGCTAGTGAATTAGGTTTCAGGGCTCCGTGGGGGGGGGGGGGGGGGGGTACATCTCCTGTCACATCATCTATCTTCCACCCTTGGATCCGTCGGAACCTCAAGGCACACATATACTAACAGTCTTCGAGGCACTAAATAACGTTAACATCAAGCTGTAAGTCCTCCATTATCTTTTGCCTTTCTTAAGGCAGATAAAAAAATCAATATTTTTTTTTACGAGCGCCCGCGTACTAGAGGAAGATGCAGGTTCGAATTCCGCTTGATGCCTGGACCGAGCAGTAAAAATATTTGAGATTTTATGAAACCACGATGCAAGTGAAAGGACATTGCTCAAATTGGTCCAAATGCACAAAAAATATTGACATATACGGTAATTCTTGGCGTAATTTATACTTTATTTTACAGTCGTTAGATTTTAACGGACACCTTTGTATAATATATTCATTTTAAAAAGGACTTTTAATTTTACCGGTTTGGAAAACATACGAATTATTTTTAATGGCTATGGGTGTAGTAACATTAAGCCAAAGACTGATCGAAGTTGTTTATATAACATCAAAACAAATCTATTTTGTAAAGATCAATAAAATAAAACTTTTTTTTTATTAAACTGTGGTATTAATACCCACAACTATATTTTAATTTTATAATTTTTCTTAGCAGGTGTGCTAAGACAATTATTATGGATGGTAGGCGACATCATAAAGTCTATTGTCATACATTTTTCGCCAAACACCTCCACACACATAAACACATTATAAGGTGTGATACACTAATAAATATAACAAAAATAATAAGCTTTCTTTAGTTGACGAGAGTTTAAAAATTCTCCCTAATCTGTGGCTCATTCACAAATATCACATAGTTTCTGTCAAAGAGTACCTTATTTTATAATAAATAAAATGACCGGAAATGCATAGATGATACCTGATTTTAAAAGTTACTCATAAGCATTAACTTTCAAAACAGGCAATTATCTAATTCTACATGCTTTATATACCTGAATCTAATACATAATTTTGGTACTTGGTTTGATTTCCCTAGTTTGCTATGTAACTTATTTGTTTTTTATTATTTTAATACCTATGTGTGTTTGCAAACATAACCTCAAAATCATTCAGTGTATATGGTTTATAGAAGTTCTCAGGGGTGTCCGTCAATAATATTCGTTTCTACAGTAATTTATATATAATTTCGAATCTAGGAAACAATTTTTCATGATTATTGGGTTTTAGGCCAAACTTGTATGGAAGCTGAGCTCTCCTTTAAAATCATTAATAAAAAAAATGGGCTGGAATTCGGACCTAGGTCGCCCGTGTAGCTACCTCTGAACCATAAAAAAGGACATTATAAAATCAATACAGGACCCGTCCCAGCAGGGGCGTAGTGGAATAACAAATTTTTACAGTGGGTGCGTCCCGGCCTTGAGCATCGCGGAAAGGGTGCGTAAGACTGCTTTTCCACCAGAGATGTGCTACGTTGCTGTGGATGCGTTTGATATCCACCAATCAAATTCATTGGTCCATATAGCATAGCACTGGTGGAAACAGGTTCAACTAAGATATGTTTTTTAAATGGAAGGATGCGTACTATGGATACCCATCCATTATTTCATGGATGCAAGCTCTGGATGCGGGCTATGATGGCCGCGAGTGGTGTAACCATAGCAAGAGAAGAGTGCTTCCCATCTATCGATACATCGCATAGCTCGATCTGCGCAACTCCCTCGCGCAGCTACTTTGCGGAGGCGCATCTTCATAGCACATCTTATACGCCCCGCTACATAGCTTAGCATCAGTGGAAACAGTCACGTAGTTTCGTAGCTAAGCTGACACACCCTCGTAGCATAGCTGCATAGCACATCTCTGGTGGAAAAGCACCCTAACGGCCCGACCCCAACTGAGAATCTGTCCAGTTGCGAATTTGTCCACTTGCTACGGAAGGTCAAAGACTCACCTGTAGTTAAAACTCTCGCAAGAGAACCTCCTTTCAATGGCACACTCGTAGCGGCAGTCCTCGAGCCGCTCGCAAGCGACCACTTTCCGGACGAAGCTGCGCAGCGCGCGCCGCCCTGCCAGTACGCGGCGGAAGCATGCTGGAGGCAATTAGAAAAAAAAACTTGTTAACATATAAGTGGATGTGCAGATGAAATCAAGCGGCGCATGGCAATCACGAGATCAGCTATGGACAAACTTCAAAAAATATGGAGAAACAGGAACATCACAAAAGCCACGAAAACACGACTCGTCAGGGCATCAGTGTTTCCCATATTTCTCTATGGTGCTGAGACGTGGACCTTGCGAGAGAGTGAGAAAAAGAAGATAGACGCTCTAGAAATGTGGTGATGGAGGAAAATGCTTGGCATACAGTGGTCACAATTCCAAACTAATGCATCCATCCTCCAGGAACTGTCCATCAAACAACGTCTGTCTTCCATCGTACAAGGTCGTATTCTAACTTTCTTTGGCCACATCTCACGCCGAGAAGATGCGTCAGTGGAACGACTGGTGGTGCAGGGCAAAGCCGAGGGCGTAAGGGCGCGCGGCATATCACCAATGCGCTGGACTGAGCAGATAAAAGTGGCACTGAACGGTCTACTTCACGAGTTAACACTGAGAATATAGCTGTGGTAAAATATTCTGGAATTGGAATTCTTTGCCCACGCACGTGTTCCCGCCTTCCTACAATCTGCGGCGCTTTAAGAGAGGCGTGAAGAAGCATTTTTGCAGGCCGACAAGGTGAGGATGGTTGGCGTAGCAGTTTATAACTGCTGTAACAGCTATCTTCGCGTTTGGACTTTATCACCACTTAACATCAGGTGGCGTAGAGTCATTTGCCTACCTGGCTATAAAAATAACAAATGAATAAATGCCACATACCTACATACTCGAACTGTCAGCAACCGTCTTTGCTTTATTTTAATGTATTGCAAGATAAAACGACATAACCAGAAAGTTTTCATAAATAATGTATTAAATATTAGTCAGTTTCTAAGGCATGGCGCCTTAGAAAAAATCCGAATACCTCACAGGTATTCTAATATTGTTAATGGCGTACTGCGTAATAGAAATACGTATGTGACAGATTTTTATGTGTGTTATAATAGTTTACCACAACACTAGTTATCTGAGTGGTACAGTTTTAGGCCCAACATACCACCACAGGTATTGCCAGTGCTATAGCGGGTCCACAACGACACGGAGAGAGTAAACGGGTGAAATTATTCCTAATAATTTCAACAAAAACCAAACCATTAAAACCGGCAAAAATTATAAAAAAAAGAGTTATGTATCATGGAGGAGGAAATTAAATGAAAATCTTTGTAATATTTCAGTTTTTCAAGCAAATTTGCATCAAAGTTCTTAAATCATATAAATTTAGCTAATTCCATACCTATTTTTATTAATTAACTAGCAAGCCCCGCGAACTCCGTTTCGCCACCAGATGGCTTCGTTTTATGTAACATTTCGTTTGGTGATTAAAAGAAGTTTTTTTTTTAATTTTTCCTGAATTTTCTTTGCTATAAACCTCACGGAGCCCGAGACCTTTCCAACGAATGCAAAACCGTGGAAATCGGTTCGTGCGTTCTGGTGTTATAGCGTCAGGAAGGAAAACCCGACTTATTTTTATATAGTAGATAATGTTATAAAGTTTGTTTGTTTGGTTGAACGCGCTAATCTCTGCAACTACTTGTTCCAATTGAAAAATATTATTGACATAGTTAATACATCGAGAGAGGTTATATGTATAGGCATGCTATGCCAATAGGAGCGGAGCATTAATACACTTTTATTTAATCTTCTGTTTTTTTGAAGTGAAAACTTCTTTAGCGGCGTTGTACACTTTTTTTGTATGTGTAAAAACTGTTAAACTCGCGTCAGATTAAACACGTTGACTGATCGCATCATGACACACGATAAAATTGAAAAGGTTATTGTTTTCAATATATTGGACGAAACATAGTAATATTTTATTTTATCGTATTATAATAATAAGTCTCTGTCTGGGACGTCCACGTGGCAGCTTTATTGCGAAGAAAATGCATTTTTTTACAATAGATGTCGCTAGGTGCGCTTAAATGTGACTCATGTAAGTTGATTTCTTTACAATAGATGTCGCTAAGTGCGCTTAAACGTAATTCAAGTAAGTTGATTTTTCTGAGAGATAAACTTTTGTAATGTAATATAAATTGTCATGTTTGTGTACGATAGCGCAATAAATAAATATTGTATTCTACCACATACATGATAGTACTTTTATGCTGATAATAAAAGCAATTCGTGCAAAATTATTCCCTAACCATCTAACGTTTTTCACTTCTGCCGTCACTCCCGGTGTGCAACCCCTCGTTTTTTTTTTAATACCACATTGAGTACTTATTACGATCTACTATCCCCAAAACCTAGTACAGCAAAAACTTATAAAAATAACGGTTATCACTTGAATTTTTACTTCAAATGAATCAAAATCAAATGTATGAAAATTTTAAACATCTTTTACTACAATTAAGGGGTTGGGGAATAAAATTACAAGTTTTATAATTTTTAGGGTTCAGTAGTGCTGACTAGGGATCCTTACCGTTATAGTTTTGTCAAGTCCGTCTATCTGTCGCGCTTTTATTTAAAACAGCTGCATTTGTCCCCTGACTACAATTGCCCCGGTGACCTAACACGGTTTATTAAGTTTCTTTCAGTACGCCCTTGTGGCATTCAAATAATGCGCTTTATATTAACTACTATACTACTTATCGTCAAAACTTTTTAATGGTCCATTCCCAGTTACTGCGTCGTACTATGAGTTTAAACATATCTCTCTCTTCGTATATGAAAAAACATTATATTGAATATTTAACTGGGCAAGATTTTTGACAATACGTACAACAAAAAAAATCAGTTCTGTAACTCATTCCGTTTACGATCTAGAGAGCCATGACATACGGAAAGACAGACATATATAGTGACAGCAACATGGTTCCGTTTTAGAAGTGAAACTTCTTTAGGCACGCTTGATTTGGGGGGTAAGCAGGCGAATGCATTTTCACATTTTCTTTCTCTCTTTCACTTGTAGCTAGCAAATGAAATATATATATATATATGAACATATATATACACACGTTTTTGTTAATCCATTGGGTGAGGAACTCTAAGGCCCGTATTATAGAAAGATTCTCAGTAATGAATCTATATTTTGAGCGTCGATAGAAAGGGATGTCGCTATATAGAACACATATCGACATCCCTTTCTAACTGTACTCAAGTAAAGATCAACACCTAGTTCTCATTCTGTAATACGGGCCTTAAAACTAGAACCCGTTCTGGATCGTATGATGATATCACTTACATATTACTATATTATATGTTAATTACGCTATAATATAATGTCGTTAAGTACATTTATTAATATTTTACTTACCAATAAAATTAACATAATTATCTTTTTTAATTACAAAAGCTTACATCATTATTTTCCGAGTATCGATGTTGAGAAAAAACATATAACCTTGCTTTACCGTAACTTAGATCCGTTAACTTAGGAACGAAAATAGACTATGACCTATCCACCTGTAACTTATTATTGACCAGAGGTAACATAATATTTATTACCCACTTCAAACAAAAAAGGAGCAACGGAGGTTCTATAAAGGTTACTTATAGGTTGCGACAAATAATAAATATTTTTATTTGTTATAGTATTTCGGTAAATTATGCATGTGATAAAAAATTATATTAATAACTTATATTATTTTAAAGGTGACCTAACAACCCCAACCCATTTTAAGCTACTCGCAAGTTGTAGCTGAGAAAAGCACCAATTGCATTTCACTTTCAATTTATTCCTTAAGTTCTCGTTTATATTCTAGATATTTTAGAAAGAAAAATTTAGATTTATTAATCGAGTAGATTAGAATATAATATGTATATTATAATAAAATATTATATTATATTATTATAAATATAACATAATCTGTGATTATGACAAGCTCTGGTGTTTCTACAAGAATGTATGTTAACAGTTCAATCTTTAGTAAAATTGGCTAAAATTAACTTATCAATAAACGAAGACTACGCTTGGATTAGTCACTCCACGTTTTGTCTCTGTCTATTGAATGACAAATGGTATTTGAGTGATACGAACAAAACACGGCGTAACTAGTCTAAGCTTATTCCTTTTTTATTAACAATGGTACAGAGAGGGATTTCATAATTTTATATAGTGTAAGGAAAATACGTCTAACCAGCACTATAGTAGGGGAGCCTAAGCGGGGATTTTTGGATTTACTCGAGCGCGGCAGAATAACATATGGGGAGCAACCTTGCGTCTAGTTAAGTACTTCCACCATACCTGAGCCCTCTATGTAGGGCCGAACGTCTAGGGCAGCAAAAACAAAGTTTCAACGAACGGTCATGACTTTCGGTCGCGCCCAAATCGTCAGTCTTTGGAATATAAGCTACTAGAAGGTTTATGTTACATTTCTAAGAACGGAAAAAATATTGTTTATTGAGATGGGGGTGGCCGTACGAAGGGTTAGAATATAGGAAAAAATAACCCAACGCGTCAGACATTGAGAATAGATGTTACGTGAACCCTCCATTAGCTCCTATCCAAAAGATTGACGATTTGGACCCGACCAAAAGTCATGGCCGGTTGTTGAAATTTTGTTTTTGCTGCCCTAGACGTTCGATCCTATATAGATGGCTGAGGTATAGTGGGAGTACTTAACTACGTGCAAGGTTGCTCTCCATATGTTATTCTGCTGCGCTCGAGTAAATCCAAAAATCCCCGCTTGGGTTCCCCTACTAATAGTGCTTTTTATATTTTTCAGATAATATTAATTATCATCTTTCCCGTTTTCATGTAATCTGACCAACGCGCTTGTGTCCGTTAGTATCTGCCGTTGTTCTATTATTATAAGGGTCCGTACCTTAAAAGAAAAACTATTTCAAAATCATAATAAAATATCATTATTTCCACAACGCTACCGCGATTTCGCGGTAATGGCTTTTGAGTGTTTCGTTTTTTATAAAAAGTTTATAATCCCTTCAAAAGATCGGCGGTTATACCGCATCATCTCCTTCTCAAGGGATGATCGAAAGT